ATTTTAGCGCGCTGCTGATTTATCCCGCAGTAATTGCAGAATCAAGTACATTAATCAGATTGATTTGTGCACATCTGTTTTTCAAAAAAAAAGCAGATGTTGATCAGATGAAAAAGAAATGCAATTCTCCTTACAACAACTGATGTAAATCAGGAGTCAAATAATTGAATGTACCTGCAATAGATGCCCTTGGCAAAGAGAGAAGAATGATACCTGAGTCCTCGTGTTCCTTAAGAAGCCCATTTGGGGGCTCACTTTATTTTATTAAATCACCCATGCGAGTCTCCCCAATTTCTGTACTTTATTGACAGCAGAAAGGGCATTCAATGATTTTGTGAGACTCCCAGGGAAACCTAGCCATTGCTTCTCCTATCCTGTAGTGGCAAAAGTGGAAAGAACATTATAAAATCTTTCACTTATGAGCATATCTGATAATTCTTCTTTAAACCCATTTATTGGGGCAGGTTCTAATTTATTCACAAGCAACAGGAATTTATTCACAAGTAACAGGATTAACAGGAATTGGAATAAAGTGGATTTCTGCAAATAAAAGTCAAAATGGCTCTACTTCTCTAGAACTAGCAAAATGCTGTGGGCTTAACACCTCTTGAAGATGAACTGAGGAAATAATTTCAAGGCCTCAGTTGTCACTTGCAATATCAATCAGATTTTACCTTCCCTATGGCCTGAGTTAAGTACAGTCAGCGAATAAAATCAGAAAGAGAGAAACTACAGGAGAAACTACAGAGATTTCCCAATGAAACACCTTTCTCTGCTTCTCTCATTCTAGCCCTAGGATCCAAACATTGTAACCCTGCTGCCATATCCTTGCGGTTTGTTGAGTGGAAAATGCACATGTGTTCAAACAGCTGTATTGTTAGAGGCTCAATCCTAAATGTAATGCAACATCTGTAGGACAAGGGAGAGGTGTCAACTGAAGTGTATAAACCTCGAGCTAATGATATGGCACTGTGTTGACAAAGCCTTCTGTTGGAGCTGAGATTTGCCTCAGCACAGAGTGGCAGGCAGTTTGACATTTTCCAGACGTTCCAAGGAACACCTTCTGTGGGATTTCTTGTGCTTCCCTGCCTGTGCTTCACACACTGAGATGCCCGGGACTTGAGAACCGGCTTTTCAGCTGCTCCACAACAGCAGATTGCAAGATCTCCCCTTTTGGGAGCTGTTTGTTAGCACCATGTCTTCTGAACAGCTTGAAAGTGGAATTTTGTTACTCTTCAGTCCTATTCTTTGAAGGATTCATCCAAGGGCAAGCTGCGGGGCAGCGCATGCCTGAGAAGCTCTCACTGCAGTCATGGTGCCACATCCCGCGCTGAAAGGCTCTGGTAGTCAGGGCACTGGAATTGTGTCCAGAATTTTATGAATGAGACACAACTGTCATCTGAAACCAAAAAGCCTCTTGTGTATCCAATAGGCAAATTCAAAAGAAGATGCTTTCCCAGTTGAAATATACATGCACACACTCACATCTCTTTTTTTCTTGTTTATTCTTGTTTGCAAGAACTGGGAAGGTACAATTCGGAGCTAAAAAGGCACTTGTTATACACCAGCTATGGAAGAAAACAAAGAATAAGCTAACGCAGGGACAGTATTTCATCCTTGAAACCTGTGATTGATATGATCCCAGCATCAAATACGAGCTCTGAGCTTCCCCATATTCTGGGAATGTTCTGATCCACAGTTTGGCTATAATCTATGTAAGTGAGAGCCATGTACTAAGCTCAGATCCAGACTGGAGTCTTCCCAAAATCTGAGAAAGTTCAGATCCAGGGTTTTGGCTTTAGCTCATGGCTAATTCAAACCAAACTGTCATCTAGATTCTAAGTGGAAATGAGTCAGAAGGCCTTATCTTAGCAGCTGAAGGGATGCCCATGCTGCATAATCACCACGTACAGTTTGGCAGCCAGCAAGGGCCCTGTCTCAGGGGAGAAGAGCACGGCTGCTCCTGTGGCTTGCAAAGTTCTCGCAGCCCCCAGGACCCGTCCGTGTGCTCAGCACCCACACCACAAGGGGCGCACTGTGGAGCAGATAATGGTTTGTCCCTCTGCAACACCTGAACTTCATCCAGATTATGTACAACAAGACCTAACGTGTTTAAATGGGGACTCTGGAACACGACAACCTCCATTCATGGCAGGGACACCTTCATCCTAGAGCCATACACAGTGATCAGTTACTGTGTATTCCCATCTTTTTACTGGCTCTACCTTCTTGCTGCTGAGAGTCTCCTATCTGAAGCTGTCATCCCTTGGGAAACATCTATATTCCAGTGCACTGGAAGGACTTGATTAAATGAACAAGATTTGCCTGCATGGCAGTAGGAAGTTTCATTGTGCTGGTTTCAGTGTCAGATTTGAAGAGTGCCTGCCCTGTCCTGTGGCATTTATCCACTGCATCCTTCCTGGCTGGGGACTCCTTTAGACCTGCAGTGGGACTGTGTCTTGTAATATGAAGGAGGTTTCATACCAAACCTGAAACAAACATGTTAAGGATTGCTTCCATACATCCTCATTTGGGTTTTGGAAGCAACACCTCACTATGCATGCAAAGAATTTCTCATCCTAATCTTCATATGCTTGGAAACAGCAATAGCCAATTCTGCCATTCTCATGCAGCACCCAGTAACAGTTTCTTTCTGCTTTCATTATTAGCTATATCTATAACCAGCTCTGTAGCAATACAATCAGACCCTTGCTGTGCTAAGTGTTTTGCAAACATGCAGGAAGGCAGTTTTACAAGCTGTTCATCCCAGTGTCCAGAGCCTTTGGTGACCATGTTAGTTGGGCTGCTTCCTCCCAGTAGCAAAGAGGGCTCAGGAAGGGAGAGGACAACTTCCCCTCTAACATACCCAGCCCCCAATATCTCTATACAAAGAAAGAAGGAGGGAAAAACAAGTGTTTTGGGAATAAACCATACACTTGATAGAGAAGTTCAAAGTGGACAGTGCTTCTCTATGTGCGTCGTGTTGTGTCTCCCTCAGTATTTCAAATGTTTTAGAGCAAGAAAAATGTATTTCATCCAACACTCTGTTGCTCCCTTCGTGCACTCCTAACATGTATAGGACTAAGATACCAATCATGTAGTTTTAGGGTAGCCAGAGTACTCTGGGCTGGCAAACAGACACTGTGAGGTCAGTGCTCCTGTGTATAGCACCTTATCCTGGAGGGCAGGGGCAGATTTCTTCAGTGCATCTGGTAAAAAGCAGCATAGCTCAAACGCACACAAACTTGACCAGCGCTGCAGCCGTGCACTGCTCCCTCTAGTCCTTCTGGGGCAGAGAAAATCCACCCTGGAGGGTGTGGGATGTGGGCAAATGCTTAGAACTGCCCTGCATGGGTCCCATGGAGAGAGGGTCCCGTATCTGTGGTTTCTTCAGTGCTCTGCCTTCTAGGAAAGAGTTAATGAAAAGTAGCTAGGCATAGAGTAGTGTTTGCTATGGAATCACATGTTGTGAGAATAATGCAAGCAAACTTTTGCAACGATGCTGAGGTCACTCAACCACAAGCTTCCAGCTCTATTATACATGAGAGAGAGATAGTGGGACAGAATTGTGGGCAAACTCTGGGTCATTCATGGGAATTCTGTCAAACCTCTCTAGGCCTTGGAGACACCTGGAAGAACATGAGCATGATAGCTATTTTCTAAAATAAGGGTCACTTTTGTTCTTTCCCTCCACCCACCCCATAGCAAGTCAGCAGCATGTTGTGGTTTTGTTCCACATGATTCTTTGAAGAGAGACAAAGAAATGCAACATCCTATCGGAGTGAATCACGTAACTTGGAAATGACCTGATTCTCACGTTTTTTCCATTCTCTGTCACTGATGTGAGTCCTAAAACAAAAAAGAAATAATAGGTTCTGCTGTTTAGTCTGTGAGTTGTTGGAGTCTCTGCTCCATTTGCCAGCTCAAGACACAGGAAAACACTTTGTTTTTCTGAAGAGTCCTCTTCTCAGACATGGCTGAATGCCTGTGCAGGGCAGATGCTCAAAGACTTGTCAGGGGTCAGAGAAGCAAAAGGCGACATTTATGTTGGTGTGACTCCAAGATGTGCTCAAGCAGATCCTGGTTGCCCTTTAAACAAGTGGAGGAACTGTGATAACAGGGTACAGAGAGTTTAGCACAGGTTGTGCTCCTGTCTGGATGTTGATAGCAACTGCCTTGCTGCCTCATCCTCTATGACCCACATGAGCCTTTTGTTTCCCGAAGGGCTCTCACCACTACAGTCTGGTTCAAAGGGATCCCCTTCTTTGCAGATCTTTATTGCTGCTTTGGAAAGTCAGCAACAAGCATCACACCGGGCATTCCTCTGGGGCTGAGGCTGTCCTTTTTTCCCTTTTCACAAAGCATCAAGTGTGGCTTCAGGAAAGAGATACTCCACAGGATAAATAATAGATACAAACAAGAAAATGGCATATTTATGTATCTAATTGCATAGAGAAATCTAATTGATTGCTCATTGCACAGAGAAATCTTCCTGACTGTGACACTGAAAGTCAAACGCTGTAGCTTCTTGTGCCTGATGAACATATGACAAAATACTAGTCTTGATAATCAGCTGAAAACTTCCTACTGACTTAAAGCAGAAGGACTCAGGCTCCCTGTAAGTAAAGTTGCATAAGAACCTCATTAGAGGAGTTAGCCTGACAGAGTAAGGGGACACAAAATCTGGAGAACATGCAGAGTGTATGCCAATCGCTGCCTTTGCTTGTCTTCATTTCAGTGGCTCACTCAGCCATTCAGACTGACATACGTGTATTTTAATATATATATATATATATATGAAAATGCAAATTTCAAAGCCAGTGGGAGCCCCGCTGCTGGCATCTGCCCAGGTCCAGCGTGCCAGCTGCTGCCAAGTTGCTCTTTTCATGGTTTATTGGAGTCAGTTACGCATGAGTGGGCCAGGAAAACAGGAGGAGGGAGCTATGCGGGAAGAGGGAGAGCGACATTCCCCCCTCCCGGCTTCCCTTCAGTTTGATATTTGTCATTATTACATAACTTTGTTTTGGGCTTTTGTTGGCACTGCCCTGGGTAGCAGCCCTGCCTTGCTTCTGTGGAAAAGCAGAGGGTTGCTCCTGGTCTGGGGCCTTTTCTTATTACTATTTTGTTTAAAAATACTTTCTTCTAGGACATGTACCACATGTTTGAAGGAGGAATAGTTCCAGATGTGCTTGAGCTAAAAACCTGAGCCTGAATTAGATGGAAACTTGGAGAATTTGAGATGTGGCTTTGCAACCCATCTCCAAAAAGTTTTTTTCCTCCCGAAATAGAAATGCTGTCTTTCAGATTCAAAGGTCTGATTGACCCTTTAATTTTAGAGATCACCCAATTCGGGTAACAAAATCACCTGTTGCTTGCTGCAGCTAAGCTGTGCCCAGGCTAGCTGAATAGACAAGAGCTGGATGGAGACACAAGGAGGTAAAAGGGTTTGTCCTATGTTAAGGGGAAATAAGCGCAATCAAAAAGACAGCAATATCTTTGGTATTATGACCTACAGCCTAGTGGTCCAGGCATACTGTTTCTAACCCAAATAGTCACTGTACATCAGTGGCAGCCAGAAAGTCCCAGAAGATCCCATCTCTCCCAGGGCACCACTGTAAATAACTCTTGGTTTGTACTGGAACACTGACACTGCATGGGTAAAACTGAGGTCAGACTTTTCAGTATTATCCTAAATTGAACACTTACTGGCTGGAATTTGCTATGCCACAGTATGACTTCTCCATTCTGTAATATTTGGATACTCCATGTTTTAAAGCTAGTTCTTGTGTCAATAGATTCTCAGATCCGTGCTGCATGTGTGACTCACATATTCATGTCTAAAAGAAAGAAAACTAAATAAAGATTCATGCATTTAAGAAAATAAAGCTTGCAATAAGGTAATGAATGTAGGGGGCATAGCACCCCTTGCAGATGACTAAGCATTTATGATTAATGTGCGGTAGTTTACGCATCCTAACAAATATCTTCTGTCTCCCACAAAGAGGGATAAAACTCATGTTGGTCTGCACCATAATCAGCTGTAGATGGGTTCCCACAGTGTCTATTGAAAGACCCACTTAAGTGCAAGGGGCAGGAGACACAGTGGTGGTGTCTCCTCTGAGGTGAGAACACAAATTTTGCGTAAAATAAGATTTCCGGCATGGTCATGAACATGTGGATTGCAGAGTGGGATGGGATGGGATGGGATGGGATGGGATGGGATGGGATGGGATGGGATGGGATAAGCAGTGGCAAGCAGTTGCACTGGGAGCAGGTGGGTTGTGTTAAGTTTAAGTGTGGCTGGTCACAGTGATGAGCCCAGTGTTTAGAGGTGAAAGCACTGATGATTCAAAGCAGCACACAAGATACAATGAAATTCATGCCATCCTTCAGGCAAGCCTGAGGGAGCAGAGGACTGAAAGGGAAAAATGCTGCATCCAGCTCTATAGCTGACAGTCATGGAGCTTCACTGATTTAGATTCTGAGGTTTGGTTCAGTCTCTTCTCTTGGAGAAGAAGAGGAGCAATAGGCAGATGAATATAACTCATTAAAAGGAACAACACAACTTGTTCAACTTCCCCTTGAGAGCTGCATTAAATGTGGACAAATAACCCAGAGAACCTTGCAGACAGACATCACCGGGAGGGGTTGGGTTGTCCTTCCTGCTCTGATGGACTGTGGTGCGTGTGGCTCTGGGGACTTATATTTTTGTTTCAGGTATTTGTGTTTACTTCTTTTTTCCAAGCACTTTGAGTCACTCAGGGAGCATTTGTGGGGCTGAAATAACATCAGATTGGATCTTCTCACGGTTCTTCAGTTCCCTGGGAGTCAAAACATGGTAGAAGACCAGATCTCACATTATTTTTGGCCACACAGATTGTACCCAGAGGAAGGAAGGGTAAAAGTCCATTGAAAAACATAATCATAAAAATAAATAATGAGTATTCAGGTTTGGGGGGAGTTCCTGTGGAGTCTGATAGACAGGTTAAGGATCAAAGGCTCGTGGCAATTACTTTCCTGGTTCCATACATCTTACCTTCTGTTTCCCAAGCTTTGTGACAGAGATCACCCTCTATTTCAGTACTAAATATCACCAGCTCGAAGCTAGACCCCATTTGTAGGCAAACCCCTGTGTGAAGCTGTGTGTCACTGGCTCCACGTGGCTCAGGAATATTCTGTGCTGTCACAGAATCAGAGAATCAGCTAGGTTGGAAAAGACCTTGAAGATTGTCAGGAAAGTGTAGGCTCACACCCAGTCTCAGGATTAGATCTTTCCATCCTTGCCATGTTAATGCACAAGCCACATAAAAAGGAGTGCTTAGCCCAGCATCACGGTCTGTGGCTGGACCAGCCATAGTACATGCTGGCCTCAGCCTGATCCCTCATACAGGGCAGGAGTGAACCTGGCTGCACCCAGTGTCTGTCTCCAAAGGTCTATGACCTTTCATGGAAGAGCTTTATACCCTGACCATGTGCAATATCTTTCTGCGTCTGAGTGTCCTCAGTGCAGTTGGGGTTCATTAAACCTCAGGTTCCATTAAACCTCAGGTATCTGCTGCTGAGCTAATTGCGGTGTATAATCAAAGGAGAAGAACAAGCATTTCTAGGGTTCCTATCTGCTTCTAAGAAGGACCCTCTAAAGCAGGTCAGAAGAGTCATGCTTTAGCAGCACTCCTCTCTGCCCACTAATAGCTATAAACAAGGCCACACTAGCCAGCTAGCTCAAGTGTTGTGTCTGCACAGAGGCTTACATTGGTTACTCAAATGTATTTAGACACAGGAGATATCAAAGGCTGGGGGAAATCTTTCCTATGCTGTGTGACTGAGCAGTGTGTGTGGAACACACACAGACAGCTGGACACAACATGCCTAAATCTGTTGTTAACTGGTGGTGTAGACCTACCCCAAGCAGTTCAGTTCCTCTTCTGCATTTTCCTGCAGAGACGGAGCATCCTGACCACCCCACAGGTGTGCAGCTTTCTCCTGTCACCTTTGGGTGCCCCAGTACCAGTGCTGCAAGTATGGAAGACGTACAGCCTCTTTCATACAGATCCCTGCACAGGAGCTTGCTAAGTGCAGCACTGACCTCTAAACACAGAGCTACTGTTTGGGAACAGCTATGTGGCCTTAGAGACAGCCCCTACAGCATCCAGCTTTCACACGATGTTCAGCACGTATGCAAACACTTCTCATTTGCTGAATTTCCATTTGGAACTGGAATAATCTCAAAATGCTCTCTTTGGCTTCTCTGTCACTTGGGTAGGCCTTGCTTCACACAGGGAAACTGCCTTCAGAGTCTTGTTTTCATTATTGTTGTTTACACCCCAAAAGCACATCAAAAGGAAGTAATGGATTTCCACTAAAAACACATGTAGGTGGAAGATGTGATTGAATGCTTTTCCATACAGGACAGAGCAGCTTCAGTGTGGATTTCTAGGAAGATCTACTGTCTGCTCATCTTAGCTTAAAAGAGATGCTGCAAGGGTTTTCAACACCTTTGAAAAGAGCTTCAACTTGCTTTGTTTCCAGTCCTTTCAGTGCTTTGCTACTGAATAAAGCAGGAGGTAAGGCTTGGAGATGCTTTTGCATTTCAGGTGCAGCCTCAGCTGTGTGGACCCTAAAAAAAAATGTACAAGGGAGGGATTTTAAGTAAGAGGCAGTGAAATAGGTTCCCAGCCTGGTTTGCATTGGAAGGGACCTTAAAGCTCCTCCAGTTCCAACCCCTGCCACGGGCAGGGACCCCTTCCACTAGAGCAGCTTGCTCCAAGCTCCTGTGTCCAACCTGGTCTTGAAAACTGCCAGGGATGGGGCAGCCACAGCTTCTCTGGGCACACTGTGCAAGCCCCTCACTAATAAATAAACTAAATACAAATAAATAAATATTAATAAATAAATTGGAGAGGGGCTTTGGACAAGGGCCTGTAGGGACAGGACAAAGGGAATGGCTTTAACCTGCCAGAGAGGAGATAGATTGAGATGGGATCTTGGGCGGAAGTTCTTCCCTGGTGGTGAGGTAAGGGGGGACTGGAGCACATCTGAGGAGTCAAAGGCAATTAATTCATGGCAGAAATTATTTGCATTTCAAATTGTTCCTTATCAGAGAAATGCCACTTAATTCTGTAACAACCAGCCCAGACCCAACCTTCTTAAATCTTGGGAAATAACTTCATAATATCTTAATATTCATATTCATAATATCATAAACATCACAAATATTCATAATATCATAAATCAGAAGTTAAGAAACTTCTACTGAAGTGCAATAACCCACTCTGTACAAATGCTCTCACCTCCACAGGGAGCTGACACGGGAACAAAAACCAGAGAAGCAATGCAATGGAGGCAGTTCTGTGCAGTGAAACTGTTGGTGATGAGAACCCAACCTCTGTATCATATTGGTTTTAGGAGGCTATTTTGCAGTAGATCTAGTCTGATACACTGGACTGAAAGCTTACTAGCAGTTGAAGCCCTTTCAATGCACATCTTTTGGTTTTACTTTTCCCCAACATAATCTAGTTTGTGAATTTCAAACGTAAGCATCATAAATGAAGACACTTGAGAGATTTCCCTCAACAGGGAATTATGAAAATGCTAACACAGATGCATCTATGGTATTAATAGGAGGTTAAGAATACAGCTCAAATATCCACAGATTAGAAAAGGAAGGGGTCCTGTCAAGAGATGCACTGAAGTCTGAGCTGGCTGCAGAAAAGAGCCTCCTTTAAATGCCAAGTGTGCTATTTCTGAGAACACAGCCTCATTTAACAAGATCAGGTTGTGAATATAAGTATGAATAATCACCAGAGTCATACCAATAGCACCCTGATTATATTCCTCACATGCAGAAATGATTGTTTCAGGCCTCATTCACCTTGTGCATACACTTATAATGAGTAACTGTTAATTTAATAGTTTCTCTACCAAAAACAGAAGACAGCTTGGTCTCTTCCTTGTTTATTAAAACAAGTATTTCCATGAGCAAGAGAACTAATGAATTTGGGATGCTCATGATGTGTACCATGTGGCTTCCTGACTTGAACTCTAGAAGAGATGCAGCATTAATGTTTTCCTTGTTAATTTTTTATGTGAGAAGAAGAGAGTTTTAAAATTCTTTCAACAGAGGGAAAGGTTTTTCAGACACCTGTCAGAGAGAGAAACTTACAGATTTCCCTGAGGAGAAAAAACCTGGGTGAAGTCTGTTGTCTAGGGCTACAGCTGAGGAAGACTGAGCCTCTTGCACAGCATTAGCTGGGACCCTTCCTCTATCCTCTCCCCATTTTTACAAAACCTAAAACCTTTGAGACATCTAATGTTTTATCAAATTTGGTTGCAATTGGCCAGTAAGCTCAAAAGTTATTAGAGATATCTGACAGATGGATATTGGTACAGAGCAGAGATCCTGCAAACCTTGTATTGTTAGGGATGCACACAGAAAATACACCTAAAGTTTTTAGGTAGGAGACTCGGGGGGGAGTGAGGCTCCCTGTTTCTGGGGAAATAATTCACTTCACTCACTTCAGACTGCTCCAGAGATTCCAGTTTGAACAAAATAACTGTCCTTTTGCACTGAAGCTACACAGATGCTCCTCCATCTGCCCATTGTCGTGGCACCAAAAATGGAAATTCTTTTCTACACCCTCGTGCGTGTTTACTCGCCCTGTGCAGAGCGGAGCTTCAGCAGTGCCTTTTCAGATATGTGGATCAAAGCAGGAGGTCACTGCGGTCAGCGAGCAGCCTTGGTTACCACCACACCCAGCCAAAACATTCTTCCTTCTCTGCTGACAGTCAAGGCTGACTCCCCTCATGTGACTCCCCCGCCATCCCCTCCCCACCACAGGTTTCTGGTCTTGCACAACTGAGGCTACATATTGCGTGGGCAAATCTGTCACACTGCAGAGTCACAGTCAACATTTCCCCTTTTCCCCTCCCTCTCCCCCCAGCACACAAGTGCACCCCCCCCCCAAGTCTTTCCTGTGCCCTCCTTGCTCTGAGAGCTGCGCACAAACATGTTAAAGGACGTTTTGCAAGATCAGAAGGCTAAAGGTTGCCCCCCTAGGTTTGTGAGAGGCCAAGAAACATGAATTCATTTTTCCAGGAGCATTTGAAAGCTAAGATGAGATTATGTGGAACTTAGAGAGAAGGAAAATTGGTGGGAAGCAAATAGCTCCTTGGAAAATCCTCAAAACGCAATGGATATCAGCAGAATGTTTCTACCACTCTCGGGAAGTATTGCCAGCCCACATCTTTCTGCTAACTCCTAATGGGTCCATTAACTACTCCTAAATAATGATGGAAACCATATGGGTGCACAGGTGGTCTCTCAATAAATACCAAATGAATTCAGTATGATCACCATTAACACAATTAATACCCAGCCAATCTACAATGATGGAACTATTAAAATTAAGCGCTACTATATTTCCTTAGTCCCATGGCAATTTTACAAAGGAAACAAACAAAAGCCTAGAATTAACTTTTTTTTTATTACGGTTATTTGATTTTATTCACTTACAGGCAGGTTTTAGGCTCCTGTGCAATCTGCAGTGTCTTTTCTCAGCTCTATGCATCTTGAGGTAAGTTGTGACTCCGAGAAGAAAGAATTTGGGGGGAAATAATCAAAAACTTCAAACTAAGATAAATGTTTGTTTATTTGGGGGGGGAAATTACATGTATTCGGGTGGTGAAGCGAAGTGCTTCCTACTTTCTGCAGGATGCTGTAAGCACCAGCAATGAATATGAGATCGCCACAGCTGCTCTTTTTATCATCTACACTGTGAGTTCATCACTGTTCCCTGGTGGGGCTATTAGTGTGGTCGGGGTTTTAATTTTAATTTTTTATGTTAGTACTGTTCCAGCCTATATGGTGGTCCACCCAACTGTCAAAGGAAGAGGAACATGGTCATAAGTGACCTGTAATGAAATGCCTGATGTAAGCCCACTGTTAATGTGATATTTTGGTTTTCTAAGAACTAAAAATTTACATTTCTTTTCATTTTTTAGAAGCAGGCCAGTAACCTGGGTTAGTTCAGAGTCAGTCTCCATTTCCATGTTTCCCTTGAAATCCATGGCTAAGCTCCCTGAGCCAAGCAAGACAGTATCACTTCCCAAATCTGTGTGGTCGAGCACAGGTTGAATTGAATGCCCTGGCTTCTATTTGTCCCGACAAGCCATGAAAAAGGGATTCTTTAACTTTAGCAAAATTGCATCTGTTTGGCTCCGAAGGCTATTTTATAGGAATCACTAAAGTGTGGTTTGTGGGAGAAGATCCAGAGATAAAAATTTTGGGTCATCTAAGGCCTAATAAAGTTGGTCCTGTTCTACAGGGCAGGGGGGTCAGGGAAACATTGTTGATGACAGCAAAAACTGAGTATGGCTAAAGTGTGACTTGAAATCAGTGCATTTCACCATTGGGGCTTTTGTTAGAATAACTAATGTCTCATCAGTTTCATAGGGCAGTTCAATGGGAGTTTCAGGCTTGCTGCAGCTCGTTCCAAGTAATGGAGAGATTTCTCAATGCATGGGTGCAAGTCCTGTTTTGAAAACTACAAAAGATCCTTCTTTGGTGCCACAGTGAATGAGACAGATCCTTTATTCTGCGTCTGGAGGGATCCCAGGACATCTTGACTTTCGGGGCGGGTTTCTGGATCTCCTCTGCTCAGCTGGACCAGGATTTTCAGCCTTAAACTGTCCCTGTGGTGTCCAACTTTCACAACTTCTCTGTGCTCAGCTTGAGCCTACCTGGCAAGACCAAAAAGACCCATGTGACCCCAAACTGCCTATGATTACACTTGTGTTTGGTATTATTTCTGTCCTTAAACAACACACCCTTATTTCTATTCATTACACCAGATTTACACCCAAAGAAGATGTTACTAGGAACAATCTGTGTGAGGTTTGGTAAGTTGTGTGCTTGAAACTTCCCTAAACTGCAATTCTATGAATTACGTGTGGAACACAAAGCTTACTTCAGGATTCCTTGCTAGCTTTCTTCATAAACTGTCTTGCATATAGATTGCTCTTTAGTAAGTGTTTCTGATTAACTCCAAGTATTGATGTTCCTGTTCTTGAATAGGGAAGTCTGTGTCTCTAATTCGAATGACATAATTTTGAAGTGTGTTAAGGTAAATCGGGACAATGTTCTCTTCTTCCCAAACTCGAATGCCCATGGAGTTATTCATCAATCTCTTTTTCATTTAAATTCACCCCTTACCTTAATTTCAGTTTTAAATGCAGATGAGGCCTTAATTAAATAAAAATTCAGCAGATGGTTTCAAACTCTTCATTCAATTTACATTTCTTGTACCTTTCTAAATGCTGGACTGTATCTTTGGAGCCAGAAGTGCTGCCATTAGACCTCCTCTTTTAAACAAATGCATAACAATTGGTAGGCTGGAACTGTCTATACAGAAATAAATTAAATCTTGATTACCAAATCTTAAAAGCCTGAAGTTCATGTATATGTTTCAATAAATACCCCAAACCTTGTCTAAACCTTCAGAGGTTAATCAAAACTCAAGTAAGTACCAGAGGTGTGGTTCTTTTTCAGTATAACAGAAAATAAATAAAAGAAAGGAATTGCACCAGTGGGCAGCCTTTACCCCTTCATGTGCTTCATCACATCTTTGATCATTGATGGGTCCAAGGAGTTAATCTGGCAAAAATGCCAAATGAGGGGAAAAACTCATTCAACATTTTTGATCTCCAGCAAAAGTTGCTGTATAGTTGTATTCAAGTTCAGCACAGGAGCTGAATGTGTTTTGTTTCATCTGAAGTTGTTCATTATGAAGAACTGTGAAAAAGTAAATGGGAGGGATAAGCAAAATTATAAAAGAAAAAACCCTTCTATTACCTCTGAGTCAGGACTCTGCCTATTGAATAAGTAAATATATCCCATCCTTCTCAGACTGGGTGTTAGGAGTTAATAGTTGTGCTCTACAGCACTTGCCTCCTTCTGAGGAAACTATGAAGGAAAGGACAACACTGCTTGTCCATTTATGTTACACTTGAGGTGTAGACATAAAATACAAAAAGCAGCCTTTCTTCCTCTATTCCCTTATCCTATGCCTCTACTGTTGCCCGCGACCTTACTGGATGCACACTAATAATACTAGGCAGCTTTTCTCCTTCTCGCATTCATTTCCTATTCAGCACTGATTTACAAGCCCGCGTATATTCACTCTGCCATACAGGCTTTTCTACCTCTGCATTGCTAACCATATCACTGTATTACTCAGGGCTAACTCATAAATTGCTTCCTTTCAACTTCCTTCCTTTGCGTGTTGCACAAGGGGAGCAGCCCTGTGGCATGTCCATAGATGGGGATTCCAATTTTACACCCTCCAGCTGTAGATCTCCATCACCATCCAGCCTGCAGGCTGCATCTATTTATTTTGAAATGGCCTCAGCAAATGTGACAATATTTGTGTATTTCAGCAGCCTGGGGAAAAAGAAACCCCTCCTGCTTCTCCTTTTAAAGAGGTTGCCTCTTCTGACTAATAAAACCTTTAATAACGTCATTTGATGTTTTGCAGATGTCTCCAAAAGCTGAAAACTGGGTGGGCACAGTGAAACTAACAGGTACAGGGAGGCAAAACTTGGGTCAGAGAAGTGATTTGATAGCTGCTAGAATTAAATGTGAGCGAGAAGGGTGATGGCAGGATCCAGATGGGGTTTGCGGTTAGGCGAAGATGCAGCATTTCAGTTGTGTGGCTGAAGCAGGACTCTGGTTTATGTTTGCAGTTACTAAACTGTCCTTATTTGTTCTGACTGGAAAAGTATTCCTTCTGAACAGTGGAAATGTTAGCAGTTTACAGTTGTCCTCGTGAGATTTCTAGTATCTGTGGGTATGTGCAAGAAAACATTTCATGAAGCAAGTTCCTCTTTTGGGATCATGAGATTTGAATTGCCTTCTGGGGCCCTAGATGTTCACAACATCTGTTGGTTATATGTTTGAAGTTCCAGTTTGGACCTGCTCTGGGCTCAGATAAAAGAGGAAGAGCACAATGTTATGTACTAAAGGAGGGTGTCTGGCTTGAAATCTTGAGCAGTCACTTATAGCAGGGAGCTGTGCTTTGTCCCTGTCTTAAACAAAAGGAAAAACACACATTTTGGGAGCTCCAGGACTCCAGGTTGCCCAGATGTCCAGGTTTCTAGTAGTGTCAGAAGACTCTAAAAGATTTGTCTCCTTCCTGAGCTGGGATGCTTATGGCATCTTTGTTTTGGTGGCGGGGGACAGGGAAAGTTATTATGTCTTCATAGTAAATTGCTTAAATGTAATAAACTGCACACCAAAATGAATGCTTGCTTCGATTCCAGCGTTCCCCATTTCCCAGTTAGCACAAGAGAAAAAATCAATGTTTTCTCCTCACACGGACTGTAGTATGAATCCAGGCTGCAGGCTCAGGGAGAGCTCACAGAGAGCTGCTGACAACTGTGCTGTAGGTGCCTAAAGGAGGATCAAGACCTGGCTGAAAAGAAATGAAACACTCTGCTGCTCCTTGCCCTTTAGAGAGAACATCAGTGCCCTGCATGGCCAGAAATCCTTCTCTTCCCAGCACATTCCTGTTTGGGTTTAGTTTATTTTGTGGCTGAAATAGTTCCTTTCTTAGTTAAGGATGTAAGATCAGGGACTAGCACTTTATTCCTTGGCCCATAACTGAGTGCTGTGACAGGCCACATGACCTGGTGGGTAGCACATGCATTTTTCATTGACATTTCTTTCGGTGTCTGACTTTTCACTCACCAATATTTTATGTCTTTACAATACTATCAACTGGTTTGGCTTTTTGAGTACATGAAAGTAGAGGAGGAACCATAGGCACCTTCTTATTTCTAAACATAAAAGAAGTCAGCTACTGATACTTTTACCAATTTTCATTCACCCCTTGAGAGCCAAAATTCAAAGCAATTAAATTTGTATGAAAATGAATGGAGAAAACCTGAGAGTAAACTGACTGATTTTGCTCAGTACTGGCCATCTTAAGTTTGGAAACAGAGGCATGAGAGCAATTGTGGTGTCAAGAGAGACCATCATCTGAGGTGAAAATACATCATTTTCTTCTCTGTTTTTTTTTTTTTCCATGATCTCTCGAATGATAAAATGTCACCATTTAAGAAAAATGAGAGCAGGTCAGTTATTTGGCTCTTAAAGATGCCATCAGTGCAGACACAGTTAAATTTGCAGGGTGCACTGTTGCAGTAGAAGATTTTGGGAGAGCCATTGATCTACTGAAAAGGGGGAAGCGAAGATGTTTGCTGTTGGATAAAAATAAGATGCTTGAGCAAGCAATGGCACAGCCTGTTGTGGTTTGCTTTCACGTGATACCTTGAAGAGGAAATAGAGGAGATGACTTGGAAGAGGCAAGGTAGGGCAATGCCCCTCACAATGATTCATGGAACTTCAAGGCAACCTTTTTTTCTCACATGCAAAGTTTCCGTT